TGACTATCCCAACTGTCGTCATAGAACCTTCATCCAGCAACTGATGGAAGCAGATGCAGAAATCCACATACAGCAGTGGGCTAAACTCCTGGAGTCAAGTTGTGGAGAGGGAGGAGCGATCATATGAGCAAAGGGGTCAAGACCATGATGGGGAAACCCACAGAAACAGCTGACCCGAGATAGTGGGAGATCACTGACTCTAGATTGACAGCTGGGGAACCTGCATAAGACTGAATTAGATCCTCTGAATGTGGGTGACATTTGGGTGGTTGGGCAGTTTGTGGGGCCTCTAGCAGTGTAATCAATTTTATCCCTTGTGCATAAACTGGTCTTTTGCGGTCCATTCCCTATGGAGGGATATATAGCTCAACCTAGATACAGGGATGAGGACCTTGGTCCTGCCTCAAGTGATATGACAGACATTGTTGATTCCCCAAGGGAGGCCTCACTCTTTTGGGGGAGTGGATGGAGGGGTGGGATGGGAAGAAGGTGGGGGAAGTGGGAGGGCAGGAGGGAGAGGGAATTGGGATTGGTATGTAAAATAAGATTGTTTTAAAAAGTATTAAAATTAAAAAAAGATCTGAAGAAAAAATCAACCAAACTGTAATAAAACATTAAAGAAAAGAAGCTTAGACTAGTGAGTGACACCAGTAACTTAAAAGGTTGTAGCATCCGGGCGCTGGTGGCGCATGCCTTTAATCCCAGCACTCGGGAGGCAGAGGCAGGCGGATCTCTGTGAGTTCAAGGCCAGCCTGGTCTACCGATCGAGTTCCAGGACAGCCTCCAAAACAATACAGAGAAACCCTGTCTTGAAAAAACCAAAAAAAAAAAAAAAAAAAAAAAAAAAAGGTTGTAGAAGTCATCACTTGGTTTCATGAGTTTGAGATTAGCTAGCAACATATTGAGGGACAGAGGAAGACTGACTAGAAGGTCTAGCGGGTAAAAGTGCTTGTTTGCAAGCTGCTTGAACAGAGTTCAGTTCCAGAACCCATGGTGACAGGAGAGAGCAGACTCCCAAAATCTGTTCTCTGACCTGTAGCACTACACACAGACACACACAGATACACACACACACACACACACACACACACAGACACACAGATATACATACATGTACACACAGACACACACACAGACACACACAGAGATAAACATAGATACACACAGATACACACACAGATATACAGACACACACATACAGATAAACACAGATACACACACAGAGATACACAGATACACACACACACACAGGGGTAATAAGATGAAGTTGGGAGAAAGAAGTGAGACAGGAAGCAAACAGGAAGGAAGGAAGGAAGGAAATCATAGACACAAGCACAGATTCAAGACAAGGACGCTGGAGTTCCTACCGTCTCTAAATGGCACTCGCTGGGAGGTTCAGTGGGATGTATGTAGCAGAGATCATGGGAAAAGACAGATAAAACGCTGAATTCTCAGATCTAGGAAGAACAACCAACCCCAAGGGGAACAGTCTGAGTCCTCCGTACACACTCTGGTGAGCATTCAAGACACAAAACAAAATTATTCCCAAAGAATCCAGACAGGGAAAATCTGAAATAACCACTAGCAGACCTGATATCACACCAGCCAAGGGGGGCTGAGTTTATGTCTGTGGCTCCCCTTGTCACTGAGGGTGGTTCAGGGACCTGTGGTCTGGGGGCCACGTGGTGTCCAAGAGCCATACTGTCAAGGGTGAACATGCTGATCTGGGTGGTTGGCATAGCCATCTGGGGCCGTGGTGACAGCCTGGCCCTGCCGAGGAGCATGTCTGTTTTAATATCCCTGGCCTATGATGCCACCAGTTCTGAGACACAACCTGTGATCACACTGTTGTCCAAGGGCTGTGCCATTCCTGGTGCCAGACCAGTTTGGGTGGTCATGGCTGTCAACTGAGGTCATGGTATCGTCCAGATCAGAGCTACTGCTGAAGACCATGTCTGGATCTGTGGCCCTTCACCAGCTCCAGCACACAGGAGAGCAGACCCTGAACCCCACCTGGGCAGCACACTAGAGCTGACCCTGTTGTTGGGGCACAGGCAAGCCAGCTCTGAGGGAATGAGAGCAGGAGAGCTGACCCCCTCCCTGCCAATCAGGAGAGAGAGAGACCTGCACCTTGCCTGGGCAAAACAGTAGAGCTGACCTTGTTAATATGAGTAAGGGGGACCTGGATTTGAGGGTCCAAGACAGGAGAACAGGTCCTACTCCTTGCTTAAGCTGCATTGGGTGAACTAGCCACAGCAGTGCTGGAGAGCTCATTAAGGTAACGAGGACAAGGGAAAGCTGGGGGCCTGACTAACCCAGCTACCACCTAGGCCCAGAACCAGAGCTCTGAGATGGCCCTCCCCAACATCACCTCATCTATGAACTGTTGGAGTATATGAAGGACACTAACTTACAGATCCAAAACAGCAGGATCTCCAGGACACAAGACGACATCAGGTTATCCAGGAGGAACCCCAGTGAGAACCCCTTATCAGTGGTGTAGCAGAAACCAGAGGCCTCCAGCCAGACCAAATGACTCGTATTGAACAAGTAAAGATGAACAGACTAAAACTGTGTCTCAATGGGCCACGCTAGTTTCCATGACAAGATTTTGTTTTTTCTTTTAAATTTGGTTTTGTTTTGGGGGGAGGTTGCAAGAGCAGAGGGTGAATGAGAGGAGACAGGGAGATAAGTGGGATCAGAATGCATGATGTAAAATCCACAAAGAATAAAAGTAAAACAAGAACAAAAACAATGCTCATGGATTGAAAGTCCAATACAGTAAAGAAGCCAGTTCTCCAGAACCGTCGAGTACTGTGATCTCAAGCAACAGCTTCATATGCTTATCACCCTCTTTCCCAACAAAGCAATTGATGTTTGCACGGAAGCACAAAGATACAAGAGCAGAGGAGATGTATTTGAAGAAAACCAAGGAGGACTTTCCTACGAAGTTAAGACATTTGATACTGTAATTACAACAGTAGAACAGTGCTTTGTGATTAGATATGTGACTTGAGAATTCCCAGACACGTATGTGTATGCTTGACACTTATGGTAAAACAGTTCTCAACAGTGGGGAAAAGAACTCTTAACAACCCTCACTACTTTTCATGGTAAAAGTCTGTAAACCAGTGTACATCTGCAAAAACATAGGTCTTGGTGGTCAATAGAAAAACATTAAGGCCACACTACTGTCTATAGTGGAAAGATAAGGTGCTTGCATGTATATGGATATGTATATTGCTCCATGAAAAATGCTATGAATGTAGACAGGAGAGCTCCAAATAGTGCCTTCATTATGATCTGTTTGAATTTTCCTAATCTGTCTTTTCGAAGCTGTGTGTGTCCTGGGCTTACACATCAGGTCCCATTTCTTAGAGCAGCAGGTGCACATTCTTCTGGAGGTCTTTTGAAAGGTCTCTGTCGCATTGACAGTTGTAGGGAAAGATCTGACCACATATGAGGAAGATTACCATACATGGGATAGGGATGTCGTATGCTATCAGGGAGAAATCACTTTCATGAGAAACAGATAACCCAGGGTCAGCGCTCCCACAGTGTCCGCAGCTCTTCTAGACCCAACTAGAACCTCCAGTGAGAAAGACCTGCCTCTCCCCAGGTCTTTATCCCACACCCCACGTACACACCTGTGGCCACGCCCAAACAGGCGTGGTCAGCGCCTCAGACAGTACACAGGACCAGTGCTATATAGCATGCAGAGCAGATTGTCTCTGTAATGTACTTATTCTTGAAATCCCATCTATCTGTTGGAAGCTGAAAACCACTGATTTGTAAAACCACCACATTTACTCGCTTCATGTTTTTGTACTGTGATCTATGGAATTGCACATACATGCCAAGGTACACAGGGGACAACTTGTGGGTCACCCTGTGGGTCTTGGGTCCAGCTCAGGTTAGGAAGCCTGGAGGCAAGTGCCTTTTACCTGCTTACTCGTCACACCATCCCTCTGTTTTCTTTAAATTATGTTGCTATGTGTAGCTATGGTTGGCCTGGAACTTGCTATATAGACCAGCCTAGCACCTTTTTTTAAAAAAACTATCAGTCTACTTGGACTTCTCTAACTCACATGTTCCTGCTTATGTCTTTGTTATTTCCTTCTGGTTTGTTGGCTGCTGTTTGATTCAGGAATAAACTCAGGCATGCTCATACTTCCACTTTTATTGACAGACGCTGATGCTATGAATTTTTCTGGGCTACACCAGGAGATCCCATATTAAAAAAAAAAAAACAAAACAACAACATAAAACCTCAAAATACCCCAAACTGAACAAAACCATCTTTTTAGTTATATATATATATATATATATATATATATATATGTTTGTAATTAAATTTTCTGACGATTTGACACATATAGATAACACAGTCACTCTCACTCCTGTCCCATGACCGATAGCCTTTCCTCATGGTCATGTTTCTTTACTGTCTGACCAGGGCCATCACAGTAACTGTGGGGTTAGAGCTCTGAGTAGGAGGAGCCTAGTGGGCTCAGCAGTGGGGAGTAGACAGTGATTTCCTCTCTACCGGGAACTAACTGCAGTGCAGTTCAGCCGTAACAAGGATGGCCTGTGAGCATTGCTCCAATGACCGACAGCTGACTGGGTCAGGTCTGTGTGGGCAGTGTGGGCGGCCACAGCTCTGAGTTCATGACTGCAACAGCTGTATCAATCTACAGGATGGCTGTTATCCGAGTCATGGTCATGCTACATAGCCCAGGTTGGCCTTGAACTCAGGATTATCCTCCTTCCACAACTTCTGGCATACCACCCTGCCTGACTAGCAAAGAATTTCAGACTATAAAGGAAGACAAGCTTATACCTAGCCTGGAACTCAGGGACTATTATTCTTAGCCATAAGAGTACACTACACAAGTAGGGACCTAGTACACAAGACAATAATTTGGACAGCTTTCTTGTAGAAGTTCTATACAAAGCGAATACAATTTTGTAGTATAAAATATTTTAAGAATATACACATATAAGACTTGTGCACTTTTGTTTATTTTCATTTAATATAACATGAAGTTAACAGACATATATTTTAAGGTAACAAAATGTTATAGTTAATAAGATTCTGCATTTTAAAGTATATTTTCAGTATAGGGGGAGAGTTAACATTCAAAGTTTACTCATTCTTAAAATGTAAAACACACAATTATAATATCCAGATCTTACAATTTTAAAGTTCTAACTAAAACATCTGCGAGTACATTCAAGATGTTTCAGACAAAAAAATACTAACAAAGTGCCAATGGATTAAACAATGTTGTCTGATCTATTTTCTTCTGAGGAGGAAGGCAAAAATACACGATAACATATAGCTAGTGGTTTGGAACTAGCAATTTGAAGTCACTTCATAACAAGTGCTTACGTGTAGAGTAACGTGATAATGAATCAGCTTCAAGAGCACAGCTATGATCTCTAATAGGCTCTTCAGTCATTGCTGACTAGTTTAGTGCCCAGTGTTTTTAAAGGACAGTTTCAAACTAAGATCAACCAGATCCCACCAAATGTAGAAATGGTTTCCAAGAACTTCATATTAATCTCCCTTGAAACTGTCAATAGTTTCAGACCTGTTTTAAGTGTGAGGGTACTGATTGAAAAGCTTGGCAATAAGTATATTTCTAGCAAGTGATGGCCTTGTATTCACTGCCCTAAGACGAGCCTTCCACATGAATGAGACATATTATCAAATGTTTACAGCTTTCTTTGGACACTTGACCTCACTGGGTAGTTATGTTGGTATTTGGGTGTTTAGTTAATGGACAAATTAAATTACACAGTGACTTCAAACTGTGTTTTCACAGAACATCTGTCCTCCAAAGCTAAGTCCCAATGTTCCCTCTATAATCAAATAACAATGTTGTTTGTCCAATTCAGAGAACACATTTCATAGATTTAAGTTCATAGATTCAATTTTAAGATTTTTCTACCATAGATTTAAAAAAATCTTTGTTGTCCATCACTCACCAGAATGCTAAAAGAAAAAAAGACTTGAGAACTATGAGATATTATACCTAAACATTAGAAGATTTGAAAGTTATCAGCACAATATGCAGTTTATGGAAATATGCTTTGATAGATTTGCTTTTATGCTAGAGACCCTTATTTTCTCAAAGCAAATGTGAATTCAGTATGTAAACATTTTAAGATACCCAAAAGAGTTAGGGATTTCCTGTCTGTTCTTGAATGTGTCTGAGAACCACTGCACCAGTGTCTGGCTCCAAAACCCTCTTTGGGTTCTGTGCCGAAAGGATGCTAACAGATACATCACCAAGGACAAGGTTTCAAGGCAAGACCACTGGGAAGATCCCAGTACAGCTGCTACTAATGCTCCCATTTTTCTGAACTACTTACCATATAGCTTAAATGTTATACTAAGAATCTTTGCTTCTATGTATTACAGTATTATGACTTCGGGAAAACTTGCAATCTATTTGTAGGCAGCTAGCTTTAAAAGAACAACACTGCAGCTCTTAGCACTAACAGCCCTGAGAAAAATGCATTCAAATTCCAGCTCAATAAAAACAATCTAATTGAAAAACCTTAAAAGTATAAAATCAAATTCTGGAAAACTTACTAAAAAATCAACATTTGAGGCACTACAGACTACAGTACTTTAATAGTTGGAGGGACTTTGAGAAAAGAACAAAGCTATGTGTGTTTATACACACATTCACACCCTGTGGTAATGAAAAGCATGTGCCCCCAAATTTTCTAAACATTGTATTGTAGTATCTTCTGCTAAAAGTATCAGTCTGGCCTCAAGGGTTTTGGTCACTGATATAAAGCACTGGCACAGGAATTTGCACTATGCAGGGGAACAGAGTCAAGAGCTTGGTTGGTAACCACTTCAAATGACCGGCAGTCCCCCAGGGCATCAAGGATTTGAAGGCCAAGTCTAAAGACAAATGACTGTACCAGTGTAACAAAATCTTCACAGTAGAAATAAAGCCTGTTGTTCTGGAATTAAAACATTCAACCTGTTAATACTGTATAGACAGCAAAGAAAGAAAGAAGGTAAAGTGTACAGACTCAGATTCGCAGTGACATCCATGAGTCTCCATTCTCTACATGGTGCTTGTGAAACTGGAGATTTGCTACAACAAGTACGACAAATACTAGGAGTCAACTGTAGCACTTCTGTTATATGTTAAAAATATATCTTCCCTGCTTCCCTTTAATTATAAAGCTTTACTAAATGAAATATTTTGCTCTAAGAGAAATATCTACTGACTTACATGAAAATAAACAGTCCTGTATGTTTAAAATCTATACTTATATGTTGGAGTATGTATACTTCACATAGTATTTAAAATGAAATACTTAGGCCTAAGTAGCTTTTGTCATTTAAGGTATGGAGCTAGAGATACACTGCTATTCACCCTTACACCGCAAAGGAAAATAGATTCCTGTAATAGTTGACACATTAGGAAGAACAAAGGCATGCCAGTCCTGAAGTAATGTGAAATCAAAACACTGTTGTTGCTGTGTTAATTGGCCAGATGATGACCAGGAAACAGCAGAGATAAATAACTCTGGAATTCCTGTGGGTAACACATCGATCAGTGCAACTAAGGCACACATGAAAACACCAGAAATCTAAAGCAGGATGCAGAAGATATGTGAAAAGATTTCAGCCTAACTCCTAATTGTGCTTTGCATGGACAAAAGCTAAAAGGTCACCCTAAAGTCAACTGCTACCACTTCAATACTTCTTGTGCTTTAAAGTCTCTTCCAGGCACTTCTCCAGTACCTTTCTTCTTCTCTGGATTGGTTTGTGGAGGCCAAGACAAAATTTAAAACTGCATATAAAGTAAGCATCTAAAATCTTGGGATCTGGAATTTTTAATGCTATTTCAAATTGCTGACTAGATAGTTTCAGTGTCACATATATTTGTTCTAGATAGGCACAAAGGACTTTGAGGGTCCAGACATCATGAAAGAGACCTGAAAGCCAGTGTCAGACAATCAGGGTGTTACAGAATTTTGTTCTAAGAAGTGCTCCTATGAGATAACTGTGATTTTGTCAGAGTTCTTCACAAACCCACAACTATGTCTATGATTCTGGACATAATAATCTACACACAATCCAAAAGTCTAAACAAATGAAAGGGCATCATTTACAACATATTAAAAGAATCCAGGTCACAGAATCCTTTCCTAGTTAGATTTTGCATCAGTAACAGAAGTCACAAGAGAATAAAAAATGTATACACATTTAAAATAAATTAATTTTCAAATAAGATAGTACTTCTTCCATGGTTTACTTCTATTCCACTTTAGAAAAGTGTACATATATTTAACAAATCAAGAATTCCAAAGCAACTTAAGAATTCCTAATTTTAGTCTAATGTCAAAACAAATCTACTTAACATTATGAACACACACAAATAATGGTTGGAAGTCATGCGGAGTCCCTGTAAGGCCAGTTCTTCTGTTGCTGGGACAGAGGTTGGGGACATAGCCAAAAGCAAAAATACATCTAGAGTTCACTCTGTTTTGTATGCTGGTTACAAAGGTCTTAAATAAAACCTACAGTCCCACCACCTCTTTGGCCACTGTCCTCTGTGTCTTCTTTAATACTTTTTTGACTTGCTCAGTGTCCCTCTCTGTCAACCACAAAAGGTATTAAAACCACTATGTAGGTTTGTCACCAATTTGGCAAAGAAAAACATGATGGAGGTAATACATGGAACACCCGACCACCAAAATAACGACATTTTTTTGATGAGTTTAGTTTCAGGAATTGTGTTTGCCATACAGAGCCTGGAACTTTGACAATTCCATTTTATAACTTGCGAATTCTAGACAATAAGTCTGAAATAAGCAAAGAACAATTCAAAGTAAATGCATGAAACTTCCATTCCACTAGATGCTACATTGTTGATTTAAAACCCTGGTTTGTTAACCACTGAAGTTCAGGACTGATTTGCTCAGACAAGTGACATCTACTGAAGCTAGAGTACTTGTTTCTTATGGTCACATACTGAAAACCACAGGAATGCTATAGGAAAGATACTTATAAAATTATGCATCTTGATATATTATTTTAAAGTTACTACCTGCCTGCAAAACTAAGCCAGTACAATTTCAAAACAATAGGAACATAACAAAGATAAAACATGAGGTTGCGTATGAAGGTCATAGCTTTGGGACAACTAGATCCGACCCAAGGGGCCTGCTTGTGGAGATGGTCCTGTCTATTTGCAGGGTTTTATGGCCACAGCACATTCTTCACTCATGGCACACATGACAGATACCTAGAAGGGAAAAAGGGCAAGCAAAGAGTTACTCAGAAGCAATACACAGAAAAGATGTGCTGTGTTCACCAAATGCTGCATTCCTGCGGACATCTCTTACGCTGAGTTAGTACAGGGGTAATCTAGTGCCGTTAGCCTATCTTCCGGACAGTCAACTTCCAAGTAAAGTGGAAACACTCTGCCAACAGTTACTACGTGTTATACTTTTGAGTCACAACCAGGAGTCCATCTTTCCCCTTCATACTCCCTTCCTATTCCTTAAACTCATAGGTAGATCTAAAATAAGTGTGGAGTTCCATGTCAGTCCAAAGAAAGAGAACAAACAAAAGCACCCTCCACCGAGACTCGATGCTTTCTTTGGTAAGAGGTCTTTGAAGGGCCATTGAAATTGCCATTTGGAGATCATTCCAACATTTCAGCAGTATTTAAAGTTGTATTTCACAGTTTCGAAACTTTTTTTTATATATTATTGTTTATTAATGGTGAAGGAACACACATAGAGCAAGGTGTGTAGATAATGACTCTCTGCAAGGCAGAGAGGCCCTTGGGAAGCTGCAGTCTGTGCACACAGTCTTAGGCTAACTGTTCAGAGCCAGTTTTAAATGGTTTTGAGAGTCTGTCATTGGTCTTACCTGCACATCTTCACCTGCATTGTATTTTCCTTCTATTTCTTTGCCCAGTTCACCTTCTGGCAGCTTAAGATCCTCTCGGACCTCACCAGTCTCTGTTAGCAGGGAAAGGTAGCCATCCTGAATGCATATGAGCTATTAGAAGAAATTACAGGTGACACTGATCAGATCATGTCCTTTCTGTTGTAATGTTTACACAGTTCAACAGCAACACACTTTTGTTTGGTTAAGAACACAGCAAAACATTAGCAGGTTTGTGGAATTTAAAAATGCTAACATGCCTAATGCCTTTAGTCCTACCTAGCACTCAGGAGGCAAAGGCTAGTCTGGTCTACACTGCAAGCTTCAGGCCAGCCAGAACTAAATAGTGAGACCCCGTTTCAAAAAGAAAAAAAGAAAGGTAAAATGCAGTCATGTAACAAATCCAGAAGAGATGTGCAATTCACTTCTCTGTACTAGCCTCACCGCTCTCTACATTCCAAGGTATGCATATTCAGACATAATACAGACAGCTGTTCCTAGGGAACATGATTGACCTCAGTAAGTTTTATAAACAATATGCTTTAGAAACTTTCCAAATCAAAACTATTTTCCGCTAACCACCACATATATACATGAACATACATACTGTAAGCAAAAATTTCCTACTAATAGACATCAAAGTTATTTTTAGTTTTTCACTATTAAAATGATGAATTTTATAATTTGGTTATAAGCAAAGTTAAGTGGAAATTTTTGATCTTCAGACCAAACGGATTAAAAAAACATTTCTGTCTGTCTGTCTATCTATCTATATTGTATTTTGATCTTATCTGTCTGTTTATCTATATTGTATTTTGTTCTTATCTATCTATCTATATTGTATTTTGATCTTATCTATCTGTCTGTCTATATTGTATTTTGATCTTATCTATCTGCCTGTCTGTCTATCTATCCATCTACATTGTATTTTGATCTTATTCTACTCCCCTGCCCCGTTACCATCTCTTGGCCTCTCCACTGCAGCTGATCAACTAGTCCCTCTTGTATTTTCATGTCTTCCTTATTTCTTGGTGAGCTGGTTAGTTTCAGTAGAGTTGCTTACAGAAGCGTGGGTGAGGGTTATTTCCTGGGGCCTGCACAGCTTACCAGAAGTTACACCACTGATGGAGATGTTTCTCCCTCCACTAGCATCCACTGACTGTCTGTAGACCCTTGGGGAGGGATGGTGACAGACTCTTAACATTACCTTATCTTACAGCTTGATAAAACAAACCCAACCATGACCTAACCTGCAAAAAAGCATACTTTTTGAAATAATGATTTAAAACCACATTTATGTTTCTAATTGTGTGCATCTGTGTCTGTGTCTGTCTCTGTGCAGGAGCTTAAGGAGGCTTGAGGTGCCAGGATCCGCAGGAGTCAGAGTCACAGGCAGTTGTGGGCCTCCCAATGTGGTTGCTGGGAATTGAACTCGGGTCCTGCAGAACAGTGCCTGCTCTTAACTGCTGAGCTGTGTCTCTAGCCCCTTGATACACCTCTTTTAATAGAGGAATGAGGAAAACAGCAAGTCCCCACCAGCAATTGTAGTACCTACAATTCCAAGACACTTTGCAAATGCCATTCATCTGGACTACCAGCTGCTAACATATGCAAACGGGATAAGCCATGGCCCTGACTTCTGCAACCAGAGCTATGATATAAGCTAGCATAGCATACAGGAGGAGTTTTAAAGTGCTCCATGAATATCATCAACCGACTTTTTCTCAACTAGCTCTTAGAACTCAAATTAACCTGCTTCTATGAATCCACCATCTATCACGGGGCTCAGATATGTCTCCTCTGTACTGGACCTCTGACTTGTTTCATGTCTTCCTAGTGTCTGCCCACCTCTCTTCTTCCCAGAGTTCTCTCTCTCTCTGGAAATCCCACCTATTCTTTCCTGCCTGGCTACCGGCCTTCAGCCATTTATTACACCAATGATGGCAACAAATCTTCACAGTGTACAAATATTTCACAACAGTTTTTGGTCACTGAAATGTTTGAGAAGTAGCTGGAAAAATAGTGAAGAACAAGGAGTGTGAGGTGTACAAACAGTACTTAAATATCTGAGGACAGGCACTCACCTGAGGCAGAACTTCTTGCCCTTCTGACCACTCCTGAGGTAAAATGCAACACATCAGGTCAAAGGCAGTGACTTAACTGTGCCTGGATAACACCTGCAGTTTTCTGCTGTCGTGCGGGCTTTGTTCTTTGAATGTGGAGCAGCTCTAACACTCTTTTAAGACCCTGACACTGTCTTAGCTTACAGATGTCATTCAGTCTGGATATGCCTTGTTGCCTTGTAATTTGTGTAATGTATTTTTGGAAGAAACTATCTAAATGATGTGTCCTTGGAGTGCCAATCACACCAGAAGGCAAATGTATCTACTGCATTAACAGTGACACTAACCCTGACCACTTGGCTATGAGGCTGGTATCTGCAAGGTCCTTATAGTCTAAATATAGCTCTTTCTCCCCCCCAAAAAAAAAGAAGGAAGAAAGAAGCCAGTGCTGTTACTGTTAAATCTCAAGTATATTTTTATGCAACATTCTATCTTTTCTCAAAGCCTTTAGGATTAGAACACATGTGATACATGCAGTTGGTGTCCTAGGCTCTGGAGCAGCATGTGAGATTTACTAGCTCTAGAATATGGCTATACTAAAAAGTCTTACTAAAATAATCAAGGGCTGTTGGGAAAACAGGTGACTTCATGTCCAGAGTGGAAGTTGGACATGATGAACCTGGCACAAGTGTTTATTCAATAGAGTATGAGGAACTATCAAGACCACGAGTTAGGCCCAGTCCAAAGGGACTCAGGAATTAGCTTGACTAAGCCTGCTTTGGCCAGTAACAAAACAACCTGTAAATTAATATGGAAGACAAAGACAACGTACCGGACATGCATGAGAATGTACTCAGGAGATGTATGCCCTAGTGCTCAAGGTAAAAACAAAACAACTGATGAAAAGTTTCCATAGAAGTAGTCTGGCTTTCAAAGAAATGGAGGAATGCAGGATCATTATTTTGTTTCCTTTAAATCAATGGAATGAAGCTATGGCATACATATCTAACAACATTACAGAAAAAAGTAAGGTTCCACTGCGTGTAGTGGTGCATGCTTTTAACCCTTTAATCCTAGTACTCTAGAGGCAGAGGAATGAGGATCTGTGAGTTCAGCAGAGTGGTCCCCACTTGGTTTCCCGTGCTCCTGTGGGTGATGAACGGCTATATGATGAAGAGAAGGTGTGAAGTTGGGAAGAGTTGTGGGAAGAGTCCAGGGGATGTTGGAGGAGGAGGAGGAGTAGATATCTTCTAATTGCATTTCATTCATGTATGAAATTACAGAATAATAAACAAAATGTTTTTCAAAGGATCAGGGTACAGAAAAACAAGATTTTTCATATATTGGTAAGTACCAAACCCAGGTGATGTACATGGGGGATTTTGACATTAGAAAATTCCCACAATAGCCGGGCGTTGGTGGCGCATGCCTTTAATCCCAGCACTCGGGAGTCAGAGGCAGGCAGATCTCTGTAAGTTCGAGACCAGCCTGGACTACCAAGCGAGTTCCAGGACAGCCTCCAAAGCCACAGAGAAACCCTGTCTCGAAAAACCAAAAGAAAAAAAAAAAAAAAAGAAAATTCCCACAATAAAAATAAAATACAGCAGTGAGGCAGCTCAGCAGGATAGCGCTGGCTGCAGAAGCCTGCTGACTTGAGTTTGATTCCTTGAACCCACACGGTGGAAGGAGAGAATTGATTCCCACCCATGGCATGAGTGTGCATGCATGCACACACACAGAAATAACAAGATACAAATAAACAGTACACAGGGGAAAAAGATGCAGAATTCTAGGAAGAGAGATCACTGAAGCTACTAAATGTTGGGGGAGGCACAGTGGGCTGAGAAAGGATGAGCTAATAGGAAGGACATAGGGGTCATTGGAGACTACAGAGCCTGCCAATGATGTGCCCGGAATAAGAAAGAGCATAGAAAGCGGGGTTATGGGAAGGATGGTTTTGCTTTTTGCTTTTGCCTGTGTTCGCATCACTAATATATAACAGATGGCAGGGGAATATTGTCACTATGAGTGCTTTCTTAGCCTCAGTTCCTGAATTTGGCTTCAAATTCTATTTCCAAACAAGCAGCCTTCACTACACAAGGTGAGGCTTCTTTCAACTCCAGCCTTCTTTCCCTGGCAGTCTTCAGCTACTTCGCAGAAGTTGCTTGTCTCAGGTAGAGTGAGTTCTTAAACATTATCATTATATCACCTAAACAAATAAGAGGAGCATCAACTGGGGTGTCATCTGACCCAGCAAGTCTTTATGCTGGGTACACACATCCAGTGAGGGTAACATGAGTGGGTCCTAAGGTCCCAATAATCTGACAAGCGGCTCAGACTCAGACAGCACTTTCTCTCACTGACTACTTCTCCCCCATAAACTTATACCAATGGCTTGATAGGGAATTCTTGTCAGCTGATTGTAAAAGCAAGAATTTCAGAATGGTTTCTAGTGCCCATGAAAGATATGAGGAACCACGCAAAAAGGGCTGCGACAAATGGTGGGGGGTGGGGAGACTTCTACTGCATTGATATCTACTGCTATGGGCAAAGAGTCAAGAGCTGGGTTGGAAAGTCAAGGACACTGGAAAAACCAAGCTGGGGAAACTGTTAATGAGGTTTAGTGGTACACGCATAGATCTCTCTAAATGTTAGCAGATGTTCACTGGTGGGTGCCAGCTATAAAAGAGGCTATTAATTAGATAAAGAGGTAGTTCCAGTGAAAGACATTCAACTGCTTGTTATTGGTGCCTTAGTACTTGCTCAACAGGCTTAATGACACGGGCTTTCTCTCCCTGAGGCTGGCAGAGCCTCACAGGTAGGAATGATGCAGGGTCCCTGATCTGGTACCTTTCCCCAGTGGGAACAGCTAGTCTACTCATGGACTTGCTTTTCCTGCCTATGGTACTTCTGCTAAAAGATTACAGTATGCTTCTTCTCTGTTACAGCACCTCAGATGGTCTCATTTCTGAATAAAATGCTCATTTACAAGCAAAATAAGGAGACAATGACATCCGGCCGTAGGAATTCAATGGTTCTGAACTCCACCTCTAGAAAAAGCTTGCCTACTGGACTGATCCTGAAGACTCACTCACTCATGGTACCCCCTGGGTAACACTTTGTGGGTCTAGAGTACTGTTTTACAGGTTACAATGTAGTATATGCTGCTATTTTTCCTGTAAGTAGAATACAGTGACTTAGCAACCTAACATGACTCTTTTCACTGTTATCCTTAATGAGACTATAGCAATATATTTGCCCCTTCTCCCTAAAATGCTGGGCTCTTCTGGCTTAGAGGCTTTCCACTCTCAGAGAAAGACCACCTCCATGAAGAGTGCAAGGCAGTCACAGAACAGATGAAAATGATAAAAAGATTTGAAAGCATGGGGAAATCACGGAATCACTATTTCCTTTATTATTACTATTTTAGGTTGCATCCAGAGTATGAGGACTTGTGGGCAAGCACCTTTACCCACGAGCCATCTCACAGCCTCCTGCAAATTGTTTTCTGATCTCCACAAGTGTGTGCACATGCAGACACACACATACACTGTTAAATAAATCTGGATTGGAAAGTCATGATTCTGGCAATTCCCTGTCATGGAAGAGTCTACGGCATACATTTTATATGTACTAAGCAGCTTTGCCTATGAGGAGGGGTCTTCAAATAACAGAGAAAGGTACAGCAAACGCAGAAAACATTTAATTTATAGCAGCGTGTACAGCAGTACAGAAACTTTAAAAACTGTGATTCCAAAGGGTAACCTAAACAAGCCATTTCTACATCTAACAATTTGGGAATTCCCCCAAAGGGCCTGAAAACATTTTCTATTTTACACCACCACAGAGCCCCAGACAATTATAAATTCTTTTGAGAAAACTAATGGAAATTAGCAATTCTAATCTGAGCCAATCTTGGAACGGGAGTCAGGAGACACTTTCTTGCATCCTGAAATTATTTTAAGAATACACAAATTACATCTGTAAATATTAACATATTTCTTCTCCCATTTTTAAAAAATCATCACAATGAAAAGATGCACACAATCCACTTTGGCTGGCTGCCAAACTGGCACTCAAAATACTGAATTCAGCAGATGCAAAGGAACTGCACGTAGTGAGATAATAGCAGAAGCAGGGATTTAACCAAGGCAGCACTCAGAAGAGTGAAGACCACCAGAGCATAGTAAGCATACTGGAAAGCTCACAGAACTAAGCTCTAACTGAGTGACTAGAAATAAACATTAGACGCCAGTTTACACCAGGAAAGCTGCAGACCCTGAGCACTTCCTGTGCCAGGCATGGTCCTAACTGTTCTCCGACCTCCTCCTGTGTGAGGCATGGTCCTAACTGTTCACTAACCTCCTTTTGTGGCAGGCATGTTCTAAGTGCTCATTAAGACGTGAAATAATCCCATGAGAAGCTTGCTACTCACATCCCAATTTTATGAAGAAAAAGAGAGGAGAGATTGAGTAACTTGACAACCAAGGTTACACAGTATAAGGACCAAAGCAGAGTCTAGATGGAATTGACTGACAACAGCCTTGACTGTCAACTCTGCCACATGGACTACATACTAAGGGCAGGACTAGGGGGGAAGTTCACAGTGCCTCTTGGGTTCAAGCTTGAGAAGGCACCCAAACCCCTCAACCACAGAACACTTCAAAGAAAATTAAAAATGAGAATGCAAAAATTGCATGACAAACAAAACAAAAATGTTCAATGGAGACAGGGCCACAATCACTAATTCTCCCTGTGCCCTAGGCTACTGTATGGCTTGGCATTGTTAGATCTCTCTGCTTAATTTTTGCACATGAGGCGAGGGACACGCTTGGACCTAACTAAACACCCAAATAAAATCCACACCAAATTAGTCCCTTTATGTTCAGTTTTAAGCTTCAATCAACGATTGGTTAATGTGACCACAGTAATCATGTGAACTGTTGGTGTTAGCTTGGTGACACATCAACAGGTAGGAGCATGGGGAAATACCACCCAGTAGAATGGATACGGAGCATTCAAAGCACTCATAAGACAGGATGAGGAAAGAAATCCACCCTGGCAAAAGCAAATCCTACACTTAGCCTTAATCTGACACGTCAATCTTACACTCCACCACCCTGAGGAAACATGTATTCATTTACTAGTGTTTACTGAGTGCCTACTATGTGCCACATCTAAAGCCAGTAATCTAAGAACAATGACATGATCAGACAGAATTCTGCTACAGAAAATGTGAAGCAGAACAAAACTACTCGTTGGTGTACACAGCAGCTGTTTGTGGGTACACACCTTCTCATTCAACCCTGTTTGTAGGCTGAAAAGCAGAGCTCAGAGAAAACACACACTGTGTAAAAGACTATCTAGAAATTGCCAGAACTAGACCCAAACCTAGATCTGCTTAACTCAAAACATCACCAGCTTTGGTGTTTGCTATAACTATCAAGATATTTTAAATTTGTATAGACAAATTAAAACTAGAAAGTATGTTTACACATGGATAGCATCAAAGAAGTCACTGAGTGAATGCAGTGATGTGCACCTTCTTAAATCTTATGTGTGGTACAGAGAGACCAGCTTACGGTCAAGGGTCAAGCTTATACTTTGAGAAGATGAAAAGTTTATTTTACTCTGCATTTGATACAATCATGGAGGACTTTTGAGAATGGCTTTGCTAAGATCAACTAGACTTTCCACATTCCAGAAGGTTGGTTAACATCAATACTCCAAACTACAAAATGCTATCATCAAACATGACCTATCTCCAGGTGTAATTGAAACTAAAGCTTGAAAATTTTATATATGTGTATGTACACATATATTATAAAATATATATGTTAATAAAAGGTCATAGTGGATATAAATAAAACAATTACATACTGTTTCATTTTCTCCTTTGTATTCAGTGGCCATGCACTTTATATTTATGGTTTTCAAGTTACTTTCCTACTTAAGAACACCAGATTTTGACTTACTAACATAAAAACTTGGTTAGCAGGAATATGAATTCCAGTCTTAGAAGTCTTAGGTCTGTTCACTAAACAGAAATAACACAGGCTTATCTAAACCTGAAATAGTTTATAAGAGAGAGAATAGCAATTTTCCTAAATATTAGATTTATTCACAATAAGTGTATCTTGTACCACTTGGTCTGAATATTACATTTAAATATATTACATTTATTTATTTAGTGGATGTATGTATGTGGCATGTGTGTTTCACAGATCACGAGTGGAGGTCTGGGACACAGGAGTCAGTTCTCTCCTGCTGGAATTGAGCTCAGGGCCAGGTTTGATAGCAAAGCCATTGCACAGGGGGAATACAGACCCTTGACAACACAGGAGGATGGAGGCTAAGCATAACTGGTAGGGTGCGGCTAAGAGCATGCACGAGGCCCTGGGTTTCATCCCCAGCACAGCATAACGGGGCAGAACCTCTAATGCCAGAACTCTCACATAGAGGACCAGAAATTGAAAGTCATCCTTGGATGAAAAGTGAGTTCAAGGCTCACCTGAGATGTATGATCCCTGATTTCAAAATTTAAACAAATATGAACAAGAACAAAACAAAACACTAGTTCTCTAATCTGTTAAGTGGAGTCTACTAATTGGTGAGGAAAAGACCCTAGAAAACTACTCTCAAGTCTTGTCAAACTACTACTAAATAGGGTATTCAAGAGACCTGAAACAGCATTGTTAAGGAAATGAGTACTTACTTGATAATCATTTCTCTTAATATTTGGAACATCCATGTTGTGAGTAGAAGGACAAATATCTTCATATTTTTTGCCAGTGAAAATATCAATTCCAACAAGGTGTACCTAACAGAGAGGTACAGGAAACACATTTGATCTGTCAAGTACTAGCTCATCACACGGAATGGGTTCTTTTACCGATTTCCAAGGTCACCTTCTTTAAGAGAGTAGCAGTGGTCATGGCATTGAGATTCAGTAAACACCTGACAGTTTCATGCATCAAAACTCAACACCCTACAGATCTCAGCACTTTAATCACAAGAGTCCACAGAAAATGAAGACCAGGTCTCTTAGAATTATAAGAGCAGGTTTGTATCAACTGTAAATGAGATAGATGCTTTTGCTCACCAGGCTTCAGGAAAGTTTTAGTTTCCAGCTAATGAAACATTCTAAGGACCCAATTAAAGGAGAGCATTCATTCAGAGTAATAGCCATTCAGAGACTGAGGGATTAAAAAAACAGCTACTTTAAATATAGAAACCTCATAATGTATAGTGGAACACAAATGATCTTATCTGAAGCCAAAGAACGACCTGAAGGGCTTACCTTGGCATGGCCATGCTTCCCGGTCTTGGAAGTTGACATCTCCACGATTTTGCATGGTCGTCCTTTGAGCACCACGAAGCCGTTTTTGCGCAGGGCTGAGCACTGCATAGGGTAAGTGCTGGAAGCCCCTGCATCTCCAGTAGTGAAATCAATTTCGTCTGCCATAGTGGACTGGGGAGATGTGTGGTTTTTCTGAGGGAACTATGCAAAAAGTTTGTTTGCTTTTTAGATAAACGGCATACAGGTAGGGGCATGTCTCATTCTAGGGGCAGGTAACAAGCCGAGCATCACCGGCCCGTTATTTTTGTATTGGACACCCACTCTGTGTGATGAGTACTTTGCCATTCAGGCCTCTAAAAACTTTTCCAGCCCTTGGTGGGAGGTGGGGAAGGCAGCTGCAGAAGATCTCGCCGCGGAGTGAAGGCGACACCAGCCCTGGGCCAGCAGATCCGATCCCCACCACCCCACCGCAAGAAGTGCCCGGCGACCTTCGTAGCCTGGCGCCTCCACCCCATCCCCGCTGCCCGGGCGTCAGCCAGGCCGCAGGTCCAGGGAAGGCTGGGACAGGAGCACCCGGTCGGCAGCACCTGGCCCTCACGCCTAGCACCCGCAGCGGCGCCGCCCTGGCAACCCGGTCTCGGCCCAGCGGCGAAGGGCCTGCGCCCCGCGGTCCCGCGGGCAGGTTTCCATGCATCTCCGCTCCTCCCCTCTCCCGGACCCCAGCGTCCCTGGCTGAAGCCCCCGCCCCGCCTGCCCGGCCGGCTGGGCCCGGGTCTTCACCTTCGGTCCCGCACCGCACGCCTCTGCTGCGTCCGCCGGTCCCTGCGGCTGCGGCGGCGCTGGCGGCCGCGGCTGGTCCAGGAGACGGGGCGGGGCCGCCACGCTTCCCACACCCGGTTCCCCGCCCCGGCCCGCCCCGTCATGGCCCGCCCCGCGGTGGGCCACACTTCCGGGATAGGCCCGGGAGCGGTGCAGGCCCCGCCCTCAGGTCTCCCATTGGCTAGAGGCTTCCCGAGTCTCCGCCCAGTCACGTGAAACGCGCCCTGGCAACCCCACGTGCTGCGGATTAGTGCACTTCCGGCGTGCGGAGCTGGCTGCAGTCGACCGCTTGAAGCATCGTGGTGATACCAGGCGCGATGCATCCTCATCTTCAGTTTGGGACCCAGCTGACGTTGAGGCTAGCTATTAGCCCTGGCGCGCAGGTGCGTGGATGCTGTCACATCATGGTCTTCAGAACTCTCAAGTCCTGAGGGTTTTCCTAGTGTCCCGAGCGAACTTTGGTTCAAGCCTCTGGTACAGCTTGCAGCCCTCCTTAGGGCTGGCGTTCATGCTTGGAGCTCGAAGAAGAGTGTAATTTCATGACTCTGCACTGTGGGCCGGCACACCCCGTGGTGAACTGCTGGTGCAGCCTGGCCCGAGTCAGCAGTGTTCCCAGGGGTGGGGAATCCTTCAGGATGTGAACTAACCCATGTGCCAAGACTGCTATGCCCTATGATCTTCCTGGCATCGGTGTGCCCCAGAGTTTGGGTTCTGGCTGTTGTTTGCTGTTAAGGATTAAAGACAAGGATTCTTCAGAGGGCTGCTTCCCTTTGAGTTTCATCATAGCTGCATTTCTTTTACCTTGCAGAGAATCTAGGTAATTAACTTCTCACTCCACAACCCGGTTCATGTCGCTCAGTGACTTGGTATTGCTTTCTTGTAAGTCAACCCAGTACCATATTCATGTATACATATATGCAGAACACAGTTCGCTTGTGTTGTTTAGGCTCAGTAAGCACATGGTTTCCATAAATAAACTCTGCCTCTTGTTAATATGTGAAAGAGCCCAATTAGAACCCGAGGCTGTTGAGTTCCCTCTGCTTTTCCTTATGCCGCCTAACCTTTCCTATTATTATTGCTGCTAATATTTAATTAAGAATTACATAGGCAGTGTACTGTCTCATCTACTACTAATGTCTTTTTAAAACTAATATTAAAGTTGGGATTTATATAAAATGAAGTTTACATTTAGTTCCATGAATTTTGAAAAAGAAAGTCAATTATATAATCACCCTCATAATCAATATAGAAAATATTTTCCTCATTCCAAAATTCCCCATGCCTTTTTTGTCATCAGCCCTGTTTTCCACCCCACCCCACACCCAGCCAGACTCTGGCAACTATTAGCAGTCATTCTTTTATGTGCATTTTGAATTATGAGAAAAGACAGGGAAAATGAAGCAATTTGTCCCAAATCATGTAGCTTGTAAGTCAGTCAGAGAATTAAAAGTTGAAATTACTGCTTTGTCTACCACTATGTTCACATATTCACATAAGATTTGTGTGTAGAATCAAATGACTGTTTAATTCAACAAATATAGAGCCTTCTCTTGGTCTCTAGAACACTGAAGTAGCACATTGCAAGCCCTTGTTTCTAGGAGAGTTACAGCATTTGGTTCATGTAGTCACATTTTCACTGTTAATGGGAAATTCTGTCATGTTCATTTCTGTTAAAGACAACTTAACAGTGGGTGTGTGGCAAATAGCACTACAATTCAAACCTGGTATTTTATCTACACACCTGTCATCTCTATTTGACATAACACATTCTTGTGCATAGGAATAGCAGAGAATTTTTCAGCATAATATTTGGGGGCATTTTAAGCAGAAGGCATAAAATGCAAAACAGAAAACAAAGCTAAAAATTAGTAAATAGATGGAAAAGAACACTTACATGCAGTTTGATAGTTGAAACCATAAAAGAGAACAGTGTCATACTTGACCTTAGCTTGGAAAATATGGGCAGATCAATGGACAGGTCAAACCTCTACACGTTCTCAGATGACCTAGAAAGCACATGGATTGGTTAGGACGTCACTGTTGAGTTTTCTTTTGTGTGTATATGAAAATTGACAAATGTGGAATCCCCAAGTAGAGAGGGTTGAGTACTTAATTAAATTATTGTTTATATATTTATTGAGTATTTATTTTTGCACCCTTACTTCTGGAATTTCCAGGTAGAGTCAGTCTTGTTCATAAGCTGCTTGTAGTCTGTCAGAAGTAATTTCCAAGAGAAACCCTGTCTGGAAAAAAGAACAAACCAAAAAAAGAAGTAATTTCCAAAGATAAATAATACAAGAAACTAGAGAACACTGACCAAAGTTTAACCTAGCTGTTGGCAAGGTGGAATACAAGGCAATCTGTGTGTAGTTTTGTGTTTCTTACAGATAGGTTGACAGGTTTGTAAAAAGCTAGAATTAACATCCCATCAGTATGTTTAGTTTGACCTAATAAATGCATCCAGATGTTCTTTAGTATGTAACCAATATAAAATTATTGCTAAGCTATTATCTATTCTTTTATTTATATTATTACCGAGTCTTTACAATCAGGTGTGTTTTTTTCTTTTAACATTTAAATTTAGAATAGCCACATTTCAGGTGTACTGTATGCTATATGTGGCTGGTGACTTGTCTGTGAACATCATAGCTTGGAAAGTACAGCTACAGCTTCTCTGGAGGTGGTGATCTAATTGGAGGTTTGAAGTTTGGATAGAAGCTAGTAGAAAGAAGCTGTTAAAGTTTGAATATGCAGTTCCTTCAAAAAGGTTGGTAGACTGAGGACTTGGATCCCCAGCTGGGGGCACAATTTTGGGAGCTTTCTGAAAACTTTAGAAGTGGGGACCTGGTTGGACAAAGTAGATCACTAAAGGTGTGCCTGGCATCTTTCTGGCTTCTCTTTGCTGCCTATCCTTAATGGAGTGATGATGCTTTTGACACATACTCCCAGGCCATGATGCTCTGACCAAGCACATGGGGCTCAATAAATGCTTCTTCCATTAAGTTGTTTCTGTCAGGTATTTTGGCCACAACAATAAAAAGCTAGTGCAGAATGGGTTTGGGAAATGCTTTTAAACCAAATGCAATGGGAGTACAAGATCTCAAGTGATGGAGTCATGGTTTTACCTTGCACTGTGAATGGCTTAGTATGTACTGTGAAGAGATGGGTGAATTTTTACTTTGTTCTAAGGGTAGTAAACACTGTAACAATACAGATAAAAAGTGATAACTTTGTTTTTAATTTAGAAAAACAACTCTGTAAGATACCTTTGTGGGGAGAGAACCATTAGAAGTGGTAATTAATTAATTATAAATAAGATAACCAAAGTTTATTTTAGTGAACAAAGTTATGACTGTGAAGAGACACAATCAAGAGAATTATAAGGGGAAATGGAAAGAATGTCATAATTGAGTGTTAGAGGTCAAGATGGAGAGGCACAGAGTGTAAAGAATTACATGAGGACACATTGTTTTATGACATTAATGTATTATCCTCTGAGATGGAAAATTCAGAAGAAGCAAGTTTCAGGGAGGATTGAGTTCACTTTGTGGGCAAGTGGGTTGAACATTCTTGTGGAAGATGGAGTCTCTGAAATGGAGCTCTACATTGGTGAATGGCCAGCATGCACGTGAAGGTGTGATGGTTAGAGCTATGATAGTGGATGAATTGTCTTGGAACATAGGCACAGTTGTCTTAGTATTCCTGTTGCCTGGTGAAACACTATAATCAAAAGCAGTTTGGGGAAGAAATGGTTTATTTCAGCTTACCAGCTTGTAGTCCTTCATCTGGGGAAGTCATAGCAGGACCTGGAAGCAGCGACTGATGCAGAGGAGTGCTGTTTACTGGCTTCCTCAGGCTGTTTTTTTCTCCCGGTACTCAGGACCACCAGCCCAAGGGTGGCACCACCTGCACTTATCTGGGCCCTCCAATATTAATCATTAATCCAGTAAATGCACCACTGGCTTGCCTATAGGTCAGTTTTCTCAGTTGAGAGCCCCTCTTTGAAAATGACCTTAGATTTTGTCAAGCTGACATAAAATTAGCAAGCACAATTAACCCCTTTTTAACATGACACAAAGATACATCACTGTTCTACTGGAACCATTCCTTTCTCATTTGTCCCCAAGATGGCATGTTAAGAGCACAGTATAAAGGATGAGTAATTCTAAAGGTCCCACAGTCCTTAAAATTACAAACACTTTATAAGTTCAGTCTTCTTAAAATACCTAATGTCTTTTTCCAAGCTCTAAGTTTCTCTAAAATGTCTACAGTTTCTCTAAAACTCTTTCAGTCTCTTTAGAAGTTCAAATTTTCTCAACTGTGGGCTCTTGTAAAACCAAAGTATGTCCTTACTCCAAAAGGGAGGAACTAGGACACAGTCACAATCAAAGAAAAAGTAAAAATCAACCATTATAAGAAGTTCAGTACCCAATCTTGGACCCACGCATGACCTCTGGGCTCCAAAGGGCCAGGGTTACTTCTTGGGCTCTGCCTTCTGCACCACACACAGCTTATCTTCTAGATTCAGCCTAGCAGGATACCACAGCTTGGCATCTCTAAAATGTTGGGGCTGTTCACTGCACTGCATCAGTAGCCTCCCACAGATTCTCTTCAGGAACTCAGACCTTGCCACATGGTGCCAAGCCTCAGCTTCTCTGGATGACCGCTTCAATCCTTGGATTTTTACGGCTATTGAATTTGCATCTTCACCAAAGGCCATTCCTGGCCTCTCACAGTACCAAGCCTCAGCTGCTCTCCATGACACCCTCCTTCATGGCTTCAAAACCAGGACCACCTAGGAGACTCCTACACTACTAAATTTGTCTGCCAACATGAGATGCAGCTTTGGCTGCCTCTGGACCACAGCTTCTGTGGGCTAAGTAAGCATTTCCCAGCAGATTCTAATTGTACCAGCAAAACAAAGGTTTCTCATTAATGGTTGTCTTAGTTAGGGTTTCTATTGCTGTAAAGAACAACCATGACCACAACAACTCATATAAAGGAAAACATTTACTTGAGGTGGGGCTTACAGTTTCAAAGGTTTAGTCTATTATCATCATGGTGGAGA